GAGAGGGAAGGAGTGAGATCAACGAAGAGATCGCGAGACCTCCTTTCCATCCACTCGCGATCCTTTCCCTTCCGTTACTTCCGATTACATTGATCACTCATTTTTGTTAGGAATATATGCAGGTAAAATGCATTTTCCCCTCACCCCTCGTTTTTCGTTGTCTGAATGAATAGAGAAGAGCGAACGATGGGCTTTCCGTTTAATGAATTTTCCAGAACACCTTACTATCTCGATCGTCGCGACAGGCGGTAGGTAGTTCGTCAGGATGACTCGTCGGTTAACCGCCGTCGATCGATTTCGTCTGGGCGGACCGCATTGGTGAAAAACCGCCGGATAAACAATACGATCCTTTACACCATTCTGCAATACGGTCTCACGAGCTGTGGTCGTCGGGATCACTTTCACCTGTTACATTGTCCGATACAAAAATGATTCATTGTTGAATAATCGTGAAGATTGCGAAGAGGATCAGCATGAGCTTGGACGCATCGCCGTTAATCTGTTAAAAACATCTCTTCGGATAAAAGTGAAGTTTTGAATGTGAGAGATTAGCATATGCTAATATCTTGCGCGTATTCTTTTTGTATTTTACAAGCATATTTCACATTATATTCTTTAATAAGTTATATTAATTATCTGTAACAGATGCATTGCAACACACACTGCGAATGATATTGATTGTGCAGTTTCATAAGATATAATGTTAAGTAATTTATCACGAACGTAATTTTCGATATGTTATTGTATGATACATCTAATTTAGATGCATACTTGAGATATAGCGCATTGTTTTTTAATAGGATAACGAGATTGAATGTCCAGATTTCGCAGCTCAATCTCGTATGCGACTATTAGATACGCAGTGGTGAGAATAATCCGCTTTTCCACGAGTGCGTACCCTATTATATCGTTCAATAATCGGAAACCGTTACTTCCTGCGAAACCGCATTGATCATTCTCTCCATTGTTCGCGAAAAACATTGACGCTAGCACTGTTTCTCATTATGCAAAACCTGAATTAATAAACGGGAGATTGTATCGAAAATTTTTAAACAACACATATCTCGATAATCGCAAACTACAAATTAAAGGTTGATTGAAATTGCGTTAAGAAAATATTTTCTTATTTATCGACTTAGCGTGTACAAGATTTTATTTTATATATTTGCATAATTTGTGGAGTCAAAATATACTGACTCGGCCAATTAACAATTTAATGAACTGTATAATTGATCACGTTAATTATCGCGATTTTATGGCGGTGGAAAAACTGGAAGCAACTTACGCCGAGATCACAAACACCGATAGTGCTACTACAGCGGGCAGTTAACGCACGTTATTGCATGTAATGTGCAAATGCAATTGGTGCATCACCGTCTGCAGTTGCACGAACGCCGATATGTGGAAGAACGGTAATGATTAAGTACGCGAAGTTTGTTTCCAGTTTAATTTCTTCGACGATATATCACACTTCCAACAGATTACGATTTAATAACCGACTTTTTTCTTCCCGTTAATTTCGTCCTAACGACGCGTCGAAAATGCCGCGTTTTTTTCTACGAGAAGATTAGTCTTCCGCTGTCCGTTTGATAAATGCAAAATGAAACGTTCCAAGTTAAAACAACATTTCCTTACTTATTAATCAGACTCGTCTAAAATCATAATCTTATTTGGCGAGTGTTTGCGTTGCATAACAGTGAAATATTTCGTGCACTTTTTACAAATATATTTAGAAAAGTATACCTTTTACAAGTATATTTGGTATACATATTTAAAATTATTTTATTACTTATTAATTTAAATGTTTAATAACTACTGATAAACATTCAATTATATTTCTCCAAACTTAGTTTTAATAGTTATGTAATATTTGATTAAAAAGCAGTAATTCTCGTGATGTCATCATTTTTAAAAATCATTACATAAATTCAACAACAGTCGATTGTTCAATGTATCTTGTGTCACGCCTTCGTACGTGAATTTTTCTTTGTAAGGCGATACAATTACGTTGCTTTGAAAAGGCGAGGAAGCGATTCATTACATATCTTACCTTTTACTCGAATTACTTTTGTACTCTTTACTACGTGGTCCAGTCGACACGGATTATCACACACGTTAAGAAGTGAAGTGTAGCTCAACAGGGGATGCGCCGAGTAGGGGTAAAGGCTATATAAGAGAACGCACGTCTGCTTCGATTTTATAGTAGAGCTAGGTCCTTTGTGCCGTGTCCTGTATATATTTTTTTTTTTTGGTATATTTGCATCATGGTAAGTATGTCCTCCACTTTTTTTCACACGTTTCTACTTGAATGCTTTAGTGGGATAAGGATACCGCAAGTTATATAACCGCTGCGGGGAGAAATGCACAATTTTGCTGGCAAAGGATAAAATATTCCGTGGCAGAATTATCGGAAAAAAATAGCTGTAGAAAAAACTTTCTTTCTTCTAGAAGAATGTGTATTTGTAAAGTAAAATTATGTGACAACATAAAATAAGATTATTGTTGAAGCTGTTGATGCATTATATGAAATAAAAACCTTGTGATAAAAAATTGATATTTAGAAATATTCTTATAAATTCTTAGAACTTACGAAATTTCTTAGCTAAGCTTTCTTTTTATTCGATATTTTATTAAAATTTGTACATACTTATTGCAATGGCATAAAATACTTGTTTTTTTACAAGTGATGATCAATTGTGCAACAATATAAAATCAGATTATTACCGTAGTCAGCGATACATTTTGTTGAATGGAAAAATCTAAAGTGAAATTAATATTTACGAATTTAAAAATTTCTGTCTGCTTATTGGTATTACATAACATAATGCGCTTTCACAAGCGGTGATAACAATAACCACAATACAATAGTAATTTCGATGTAGATCACGTAGAATTTTCTTTGATACATCCAATGACGCGATATAAAAATTCATTAAGCAATAATAAAAAAAAAAAGAGAAAGACGCGTATCTACGCGCGTGTGTTGATACACTTGTTCTTCGGGAGGAGTGGTCCTCCCCATCCGAGGCGGCCGGGACGACACATTCTATATAAGAGTGGTCCATGCCGGATGTTGACCCAGAACTTCGCGTGCAGTGAAAGTGCCCGGTGCAAATACGTTTTTGCCGGAAACGATAATGGTGAACGCACAATATAATTGGCCGATAATACGGGTGATCATTTATTGCTTCGTGTAAAAGCAATCTGATTATTATTACACATTATCTATGACATTATGTTATATAATAAATTTAAAAAAATTTTCAAAAAAATTATCGTGATTCTTATCGAACTGTACTGATTTTAAATTTTATTGTTTACTTTTTATTAATTTATTAATTTTATTAAATTGATATATTTTTATATCATCAATACACTAAGCATTTAAATATAATAATAATAGGTTGTTTTTACTTACACATCAAGGAAGCAGTTAATATTTTCGATAATCAGCGATCGTGTTACTTGTACAATATTACATTTAGAAATTTATAAATTATTGCAGATTTATAGATAATTAGATGTTGATTTAGAAAATAGGGGGAAAAAGCATGATGCACCGATGATTAATAGCAATTTTAACTTTCTCCTTCGATTACAGAAAGTCTGTTTAATATTGGGTCTGCTGGTAACGGCTGCGTGTGCCGAGAAGAAAATTAATTTAGAAGATATCGAGAGGGATACTTTGAGGGCGGAGAATAAAGCCAAGGTCGAGACCATTCGCACTGATGAGACAAAGTACGCCGTCAAACCCAACGTTAATCATCAGCAGTATCAAATACCGAGCCAATACAATATCTTAGGTGGCCATTCCGACGCGTACATCTCCCCTCAGCAGCTTCAGGACATAAAATATAGCGTAAGACGTTAATTAAACATTAAAAGTAATATAAGAGAGTTCTCATTCATTGTCAGCCAGCAATATTGAAATTATTATAGCAGATAAATTTTAGCATATCACGATGTAGAAGAAAAATAATACAAAAAAGTAATTAAAAATATTAATAACATGTGTTTAATTTTAATAATTAATGAATTACATTTTGTAAAATATTACTAATTTCTATTTATTAAAATTTTTTATATTTTTTGTTTGATTATTATTAGCAAGTGCCACCTGAAGCATATATTCAACCTAATCAGTATGCTGTACAGGAAACACAATACAGACAGCCAAACCAAATTCTGCTGCAGCAGAATATTCCGTCAGTACAATATTACAGCGAATATCAGCAGCAAACGGAAGCACCGGCGAAAACTGCTGCTCCCATCGCCTTTGAATCCCAAAAATTAAACTATCAGCCGGAAATAGTAGTGGGCAATCACATTCAAAGTGTTCAGCAGAAGGCTGTCACGGAAAAATATACAAAACCTGTTAATAGAGGTAGATATCAAACAAATTTGTCTAATTTGTTATTTTCTCGGCATATCTTTTCTATTATTTACAATAATTTTTTCAGCAATAATATTTTTTTGTCTATTCAGATTATATTATCAAAAATTTTACAATTGTTATAAACTTACAGCAAAACTTAAAAAAAAATATTATAATGTTTAGAGGAAATCTTTTGAAGAAAGTAAAATTATTCGACAGAATTTGTATTGCTAATTATTGAAAGTAAATGAATAAAATTTAAATACATTTTCTTATTTGCAGAACCCATTTATTTCGATGTTCCGGCAACACAGCTGCTTTCTTATTATCCTCATTTGAATATTAATCCCTTGGTGAATCTAAAAAGTACCAAATTGGCACAACCATCATTACATCAGTTAGCCAGCAGCACTCAACAAATTTCCATACCCGTGTATGCTCCTATATACAATCAAAATCAATTGATCCCATCCGCAAAATTACCTTATTCCACGATCGTGCCAGCACCTCTCACGACCAAAGTAAGTATATATTTTCAATATGCAAATGCAACGATCTTTATATTCTATTTTCATATAAATATGATTTGAAAAAATTAAATTTTTTGTCTGGAGATTGTATAAAAATTTGAGATTATTCTTATATTAATTTAAAATTATGTATTATAAAATTAGTATTTATCTATAAAATTAAGACTAATATTAAATATAAATTACACTTGATTTACTTCAAAATTTTTAATATTCTAGATAACAAAAGGACCAGTTGCTCTCCCAGTTACATCAAAGAAGATCCATTCCTCCTCTGCAACACAGCTTACAACGCCTTTGTACGTTCAACCTCAACAATCGTTTGCTCATGGAAAGACATTGTTGCACACACAAGCTTATATTCAACCGCAGCTTTCGCAACCGCAATATGTGCAGCAATTAGTTTATGCGCAGCCCGGTATAATCTATAACGACCCCACTGCCGCTTACAGCGATCTTTACTCCCGCTTACCGGTGCAATACATTCAGGACAATTTCCTTCGCGGACAAGCAAATCAGTATCAAACCCAGCAACAGTTGTACGTTGCGCAGCAGATCGCTCAGGAAGCGCCGAAAGAAATTTTGCAGGAACAAGTCAGCCAAGATCTTCCACAGAATTATGTCAAGGTTTGTACGATGAATGTCACTTGATTAAGGTGCATTTGGCGTAATTGACGTTTTACAGTGTGATTTATGATTTGCATGACTGTGTTATATCCACTAGAAATCAGAGTTTTATTAATGGAAATAATAGTTTTATATAATAGACGCTCTGAGCACCACGATCATAATTGGACATTTAAATGACACCATTAAAATAGAGTGACATCGTTAACTTATATAGTTTAATTAACTCTTTTGCCGCGCAATATCGTAAACCGCGTATGGGAAACATTTTTCACTCACTTTTTTTTATTTTAATAGGGAAAGATAGAAATGCGTGCTTTTTATAAAGCAATTTTTTCTCAGAAAAATAATTGCTATACATAATTCAAATAAAATGCAGGAATACTATATCTAGGTTTACTTTTAATAATTTTTTATCAATACACATGTTATATTGTGGAAGTATTTGTAAAACATTCTGATGTTATTTGAAATTTTAAAAAGTTTTATTTAATCTACAGAAATGTCAATTTTATTGAACATATTTCGATCAGGTTGACGAGCCCAAAACTCACTTCGTGCCGCCGCAATTGCCTCCGCAGGATTTCAAATCCAGCATTGCGCAATTGCAGCCCTACGAGGATGAACAATCCGTGCCAGTGCAGGATCATTCCTTACCCTCGGAGCCAAGGTCGCTACTCGACTCGTACATTCCGAGCAATGTCATCGCTGCGCAGGATTCCGCTAGGTATAATAGCGGGAGTAATGAGACGTGCTAAAACCTCTTATTACCGTAATCACCTGTCATAACTGCCTGTTATAGGTACAGAGAAAGGCCGATAAAACTGGAAGGAGGTTTTCTCCCGTCGAAAGTGAATTTCGCACTTAAGAAGCGCAAGTCTGAGTAAAATTGCCGGGAGCATGGCATGACGATTGACGAAAATGTCACACAAAAGGGTCAGTACAAAACTTTATTATTAGTGATTTATGATGACCGACGGCACGTGTGGATGACATCGAGGATAGCCGTCCGAATCGGCAGCATCATTGCATCTAGTCTTTCATCGAAGATCATGCTGACTTTTTTATACTGTTCTCTTCTACGTTTGTAGAGCCGCGCCCGCAAACGCGGCGTATTTTGTTTACAATTTTTCAATAAAATATAAAATGAAGAACCTTTGGTAGCACCTTTCCTTCAGCTTGTAAAACTGAGATATGCAAACATGTGTACCGGATTAGTATAATATTAACTAAATTGTTATATGTAGTAATATAATTTTAATTACTGCATATAATTAATATAATTAATATTATTATATTTAATTAGATACTTACGCATATATTTTTTTATCAAGATATATCGCACTTTTTAATTTCGTAAAATACAAGCATAGATTTATATATATTCTTTTTTATTAAAGAAACGTAATAAAGTAAAAATAATACATAATAATAAACTTTGAAGCTAAATTTGTACTTTTTGTTATGCCAATGGTTATTTTTTACAAAATGTAAGGTTGATTTTGAAGTTGCGTGCGAACTCGGGCAAAAAAATCGTAGCAAAATTTAAAAAAATGCGTCTTTTTGTAAGTCAAATATTATAGTTTTTAACACTTGTATAAATCATTTTCAAGAAAAATTTTTTTATTGAGCTGCAGAATGTAGAAAGTACGTGTTCTTTTTTAAGCTTAGAAATGTAAAGATAAAAAATTTATAGAAAATAGCCTAAAATATGTGAAGTACAAGTTTCAAGCTTTAAAATGCTTTTTTATTTTTTTGTTTGTGATGATTTTTTGCCAAATTACTGCGATTTGATTATCGGTCAATTTTAAGCGCTCGAAGCGCAATTTTAAGCGTCTCAACGCGGCAGAGCAGTGCGGCCGAGAGCTGAATACGCGCCATTAATACGCACAACGCCGCATTAATGGCGCGTACTTAGCCAGTCGGGTGCACTGTTCTGTCGCCTCGAGATTTAATATTGACCAATTTTCAAACCGCTGTAACTCAGCACAAAATTATCGTAGATAAAAAAATAAAAAAGTATTTTAAAGCTTGAAACTTGCACTTTTACATGCTATTATTTTCTAAACATTTTTTATCTTTACACTTCTAAACTTAAAACAAGAACATGTACTTTTAACATTCTGTAGCTTGATAAAAAATTCTTTTTTGCAAAATTTGTGACAAGTGTTAAAAATTACAACATTTTACCTACACAACGCGTTTTTCTAAATTTTGCTATGATTTTTCGACGAGTTACAATGATTTAAAAATTGTTCAATTTTTTTGAGCGCCTGAAAATTATTCCCTATTTTTTGTGAAGTAATGTATTATTTTACTTTGTATTTAGCCAATAACAAAAACCTTTCAGATAAATCTTTTATTCTTATTAATTATACATCTTATTAATTAATTTTTATTAATTAATTTTTAATTACACTATACTTTTATAACAAGTTCGTATTTTTTATTTTAAACAGATTCTTAATTATGCGTAATATATTTATGCGTAATTATATGTAATTATATGTAATATGTAATTATTTCTTATATTTACATTCATCAGGCACTTGAATGTGTCAAACCAGTCAGACACGAGTTTAAGATGATGCGCAAATATCAAAACATGATGCATCTGACCAAACGCGTCTGACCAGATGCGTCAACTTAACTCAGAGGTAAATAACATTATATAATGTACAGCATTATAAACGAACGTTGAAGAATGTTGAATATTTATAGAGTTGTCTCTAGTGATCGCTCAATGGGTACACAGTGTACCGAAAAAAATTCCGATGCAAGAAGAGTTAAATATCGAATTAAGAATGATTAATTGCGCAATTAAAAGCTAACGCGTATTTACCTTCTCGTAAGTTAGAAACGAGGCAACATTTTTACCTTCTTTTCGTTGTTGTAAAAAAGATTATACATTTCCCATTAGAATATTGTTAGGCTAGACGTGCAATTTGCGCAACTGCGGGATTTTTTTTGGCTGCAGCAAGTCAAACAGAGTAAGCGGCAAAGTTACCTATATATTTATCAGCAATTAACACGTCTATTCTCTGATTAGCGCTGACAGTTTATGATGGTTTATAGCCGGCTTTGAGACAGACCGCATCGACATCAGAAAACTATGCGCTGCGGGAGGTGCGTCTAATGTCAAAGTTGCGGTATGCGTGTGCAAGTGTTTGCGTGAGCGCGATATATTAATGCGCGAAGTCCACACGAGAAAGCTGATGCCACGAAGATGAGGCCAGCGGTGTAGGCTCTTGAAATTGGCCGCTTGAAATTCTGATTGCCGCTTTATAGCTTTGTCATTAGCCGCATCATGCACGGGATACACTTTCTTTCTCATAAATGTGTAATTTGCTGGAATTTTCTGCGCAGATATTTTACAATCCAGCTGCAATTTACATTTATTTCTCATATTTTTTTAGCGTTTTAAAATTTATACTACACATCTTTGTGTAGCGAATAATATAATTTGTTAGCGATTACGAGCGAGACCCCTCGATCGACGATTTGCTAATGAGCGATTGTATGGTGAAGTTTTTTTCCCAATTTTTTTTCCAAGATAAATCCGGAACTTTCTGTTAGCCTGAATTATGGTGCGATACGTGCACGTTTATTTGCGTAATACAAGAAAGCTTGTGTTGATCGGCGCGTCGATCAGTCAGACGTCGCTACGCTACTGGCAGATGTCTTCCCGTATCGAACGCGAATAGCGCGTTCGTCTCGCTGTGGTGAAACTATAATGATGGTGTCCTCCACCAGACGCGAGGGCATATAAGGTGGGATGTTCTGGCCTCAGCTTCATCAGTACCAAACATACACGACAAGTCCGCCAAGCCAGCAGGTTTAAGGTCGGCCGTCATGAGTCTTGCCAGAATACACGTAAGTACTTGAATCAAATCTGTTTTGCGTATTTGCATGCTTGTTTTACCTCAAATTCTTCTTGCTTATTAGCCGGCAGGATAAGATAATTAATATAGTATCTATTCTCATGTTACGCACTGCATCTTAATTATATATTAAAGATTTTTAAAAACCACATTTAATAAAAGTATAATACTTTTTCATTATCTACTTGTCACCATTTATCATAACTTATAGAATTGTCAAGTTTAAAATAAAATTAAAATTCCTTAGTTATTTTTCATAATTTCTTATTTTTCTCATAGATATGTCACACTTTTTTTAATCTTTATTAATATTTATTATATTAATTATTATATTAACAATATTACTTAATATTGCTTATTAATTATATATGTAAATAATGTAAATTTGATTAATATTTACATATTAATATTTTGTAGGAAATCTATTTCTCTTATTTTATTTTTATATATGTAATTTTTATTTTATTTTCCTGAAACTAATTAAAAGAAAGATTATTAAAAAAGATTGCAATTTTTTCGTATTTAATACAAACACTTTTTGAATCAATAGTTCTATAATTTTAATTACAACGGAACGATAAATGTTACGAATGCGATTATAACTAAAAAGGTAATGGACCGCGTGCGGATAACACGTTACTGGCAGAATTGATCGCGCAGAGAACCCAGCTGTTCTACGTAATTTAATAATCCCTCTCCTATTGAAACTTTAATACCGAAAATCCGTAGGAAATATTTTAACGGGAACGTTCGACGATGCTCCGCGAGCGTGCCCGCGCGTGTGTGTGTACGCTGTCATATTTTTCGCAGCAGCCCCAAAAATTATTTTTTTCTCAATCGGACGATCGCTTCCTCATCGGATTCAATCGGACGTAATTGCGGTGAAAGTGTTTTGGATTTTTCTCCGGTCGTGTCCGTACGAGAAGACGACGATAAAGTAACCGCGGCAGATGCTCTTGAGTAAGTCAGTGAAAGTCCTCGATGATGAGCTGCGCGTTATCTCTCAATTCGTCATTGTAAGGGTTCGACGTCGCGCTTTTCGGCATTAGGTAACACGCGCGGACGTAACAAACATCGCGAAATTTGACATTTTTATCGATTGTGTTCACATTTTTATGTCTTCATCATCGTCACTTTCGATTTGATTGACAAGTTTGCGAACGGAATAATTGACTACTTTCAACGCGCGTCCTTCTACATCCGTGTCACGTGCTGAATATTTATTGGGACATTAACACCGAGATTGTAATTTGGAAACGACCAGAAAAACGGGAAGAAGTTTGATTGATGTAACATATTTAAAAGTACAGGTTCCAAATACAAAAAATTAAATTTAAAAACATAGCTATATAAAATATTTTAAAATACATATATTTTTATGTTTATAAAAAAATTGTAATCACAGAGTTAATCATTAAATCATTTATATTTTATTTATATACGCAAAAACGTCAACGCATAAATATTGCAGTAAATAATAAGTGCATTTGAAAGTTTTCCATAAATTTAATACTTTTCATATGTCAACGTTGTGTTGTATATTTAATGATTTTTACATGAGTGTAATTTGTAATCATCTATCACTTTCTTCGCTCAACTAGTCTCCATTTTTAAATTATGTAGTCGACTTTTACAAATAGCAATAAATTCTCATGCAGTTCCGTTTTGCATTGCTTAAAAGTCAGATCGTCTTGTTGTTCGTAAACTGCGACGTTTAAAGAAAGCGGTGAAAATCGCAAATACGTAACGAATGAAACTCGTTTTAATGATGTTGACCGACACACTTGACTCTGACCCCACGTGGATATCTCTCCATCTCTTCTGCGCCGACTTTCCTCCAAGGTCGCAATCGCGTTCGTTATCTTCATAATTGCACATAAGCCGGATTAACGTTCGAAACATATCGATAATTGATCGCGCGCGTTTCATATCTGATTATCATTTCTTTAAGATCATCTCATTATGAGAATATTCAACCAAGAGTTTCTTCGATGCGCGAAGCGGTCGCATGTAGTCGCCGGACAGGGGAAGGGAAGTGAAAGTGAGATATCCCGCCATTACCGAAGCATCGAGATCGATGACCAACGAACACATTGTTACATCGTTGCCGGCCGGAGATTTCTTATACGCGCCCCTGACTTTCAGATCGCCGCATTTCTACTGGTGCTCGGGCTCTGCAACGCGGAAAAAACCACCGGAAGCAGAGAGATCAAGGTGAACGACTCGAGCAGCGTCGAGCGTGCCGTCGCCGACAATGTGTCGAAAGTGGACATTCCGAGCGACACAGAGGAGGAGGAGGAGGAGGAAGAAGAGGACATCGACGAGAACATCCTACCGCCGATTTTGCCGCCGTTAATACTTCTGGACTTCGATAACGGCACGAGTGACGATAACGTGACGACCGACGAGAAGTCGAAGCGCACCGTGAACGACGGCCTCGGCTACGGCTTCGGCCGGAACTCCTTGGTCGGCTCGCGAAAATACAATTACTACTTTCCCGCCGGCAAGACCGGAACCACCGTGAGCATCGAGGAGTCCATCAGCCCGTTCCTGCCGCGGACTATAATCGAGAAGCTTCCGGCGGGCAATCAGAAGCTTCCGGTTTCTGGTCTTAGACAGCAGGAGTCGCACAGAACCGACAAATCGGCGAGAACGAGCGGCTTTCAGAGCTCGGTGAATCAGTATTACGATCCCGCGACTCAAACGCCTCAAGTGTTCGGACTGCGGATGAAACTGACGAAGACGCCCCAGCCCGAGACTTACGGGGGATTTTCTCCAATCGCGCGACCCGTCGAAGCGTACTCGAATCACGCGGATTATCGAGAGGGCGCGTACGCGTCCACCACGCAGCAACCCTTAGTGTTCGCAGAGCCTGGAGGTTATGTCACGCCGAGGCCGCAGGCTCACGCGGCTTCGAGCTCGAGCCGATACGCTTACGTCACGGCGAGCCCGGAAGTGCAACACTCACAGAGATACCTGAGTCAGAGCAATCAGCACGCGATAAGCGTGCACGGTTACGCGAGACCGGCGCAAAAGGTAGAATCTTCGACATCCAATTCCCCGGACAACGCCGCCTTCCTCGAGAACGTCGGCGTTCACTCGCGAGCGAATCCTCACGAGTACATTCGCGCGGGCTCGAACGCGGTGGAATCTTCGACCGCCGGTGACACCTCTGGCTACGTCGAGAGCGTGGCGCCGTATGCCGATTTGCCTAGGTACACGGTGGAGGACGGCGTTAGATACGAAAACAAAATCTTCTGGAAGTATCCGGACGGCAGAGTGTCCGATGTGCCGCCGATGACGTACGAGACTTACTCGGAGTATCCGTCGCTAGCCGCGTTACAGGCGGCCGCCAAGGACGCGCCGTCGCAGATCTACGAGGCAGCTTCGACGGAGAGCAGCGTGTCGTCTCGCAATCAGGGCCCGGTGCAATTCCCGACGGCGCCGGAACCCAGCGGCCCGCCAACCCCCTTCGTCTCCGCCGAATCTCTGTCGTCGAACCTGCCGCAGCAGCACGCGTATCGGCTGGGCTATCAGAATCTCGTGTCGAGTCAGAAGCAGATCATGCAGCAGCAGCATCAGATCAAAGCCAGCAGCGGGGTTTTAAACAAGTACACGGTGTCCTCGACGACTCCTGCGCCGCCGAGGAATTTCTTCAAGTCGGGCGGCAAGAGTCAGAAGAATCGTTACGAGACATTGAGACAGCCGGTCTTCAAGTACATGGTGAACAGTCCGAATGCAGAGTATGTTCAGACTTACACTACGGAGAATATTCTGAGAACCACAACACCCAGCAGTCACTTTATTTCGTCAGGTGAGCTGTTCTTTATGTTTCATTAAGACACAGTAATTATAAATAAAATGTAAATTAATTCTTTTTGCCATGTTGCTTTAACGTCAACAGTGCTGCTCGCAGAAATTACGTTTTATTTGAACGTCTCGCTCACTCTGTTGTACTTTTATCTTTCTAGCAAGAAGCTGAAAAGATTTATAGAGGGCGCTTTATGAAAAATAAATAGCTCCGCACTTTTGCTAAGTTATCGGCGCAATTGTGTATTCAGGAACTGTACAGTCGCGAAGATTACATAAAAATTACATTTTCAGCTGGCAGAAACTCGGCCAAGAAGACCAATGCGGATGGCAAGAATCTGGAGAACTACTCGAGTCTGCAGTACGCGGACTTGCTGAATTATAATCCATCGATCTCGCAATATATAAAGAACCCGGCGTCCATCCTCAACGTGCAGCCGACCTTCGTGCAAGCCGGCAGCTCTCTGATACCTGTTATCATTCTGCGAGTGGACGGCGTGCCGCCTATTCAGCCTAAAGTCACGCCGAATATAAATCTGAAGGCTCTTCTGCAGCAATATCTCGTCCAGTATGCCAGAAGCCTCGAGGAACTCGCGCGACCGTCCAATTACGATCTCGGTAATGATCAGACGCCGAAAGATCAGAGCTCGTACTCCACGAGTCCTCTGCGACAACTGGCGCGATTAGCGCAAAACCACGAGCAGGATCTAGTCGGTAATCCTACGGAATCCTACATCGGCAAAACGAGCTACGAAACGAGCAATTTGAATGTCGCAAAGGTCGAAAATGTGAAATATGGCGAACGTACAGCGGTTCGGCCGAAAGTGAAAAGCGTGCAGATCGTGGAGGATCCGAGATTCCCGAATTATAGAGCTAAGAATTGAATCGCGCGTCTGTGCAGAGTAAAAGACCGTGAAGATATCTCTTAACTTTCATGTTCTGTCGCTCAATTTGACTTTTACTTTATTTGAGATATAAACAAGTAAAATTGAAAACTAGTAATTACATTATTGAAATTCATGTTTTATATTTAAAAAGAATTGATATTGCATTAACATAAGATAATGCATATTGTTACGCAAAAAATTGATAGAACGCGAAAGTTAGGTCAAAACAATTGATTGATTGGCAATGATACGAAAAATTCGAAATGGAAAAATATTTTTCCTTTAAATTATTTTTTATTTTGAGGTATGAAATAATTTTACTATTTGGCACTTTATCACTTTAGTCTTGCGAATGAGACGCTTCGTGCCATGAAATGATTTAAGAAAATGACAACGAAATAATCAATAATCGAGTGTTATGCGATACGATAGTATTTAACGTGGGATTGTGCAATATATTGTAACGTATACAATATGTACCTGCATTACTGATTTGCTGAGAACTCGCCGGAGTCCGCCAATATTGATGACTCATGCCGTTCTCGGGAAAGCAGTAGTAACCAAAGCACTTTCGTTGCTTTGCGAACGCGTACTTATGAGAAATTAGCCAAATTTCTACACTTCAGAAAGGTACCTTATTCACCGTAGTGCTTAAGTTCTTACACGATTTAAGATAATCGTAATTTGTACACCACATTACATTATAAGGCAATAGAAAATAATCAAATAGAGAACAACATTTTTATACAAATTAGATTTCTATCACTTGTGCCTGTACAATTTTTATATAAATGTGTAAAAGATATAAATTTTCCAATGTGCCGTATTTTTTATTGACTAATATTTTTGATTCGTGTATTCCGTTTATGTTTCCCGAAAATTGTCTATTTTATAAAATTTTAGTTTGTAAAATTTTGTATTATATTTTACTATAATAAGTTTTTTTATATTTTATTAAATAAACTTTTATAGTCGCAGCCATAGGTTAATGGAAAAAGTTGGAAGCTATATACTAGCGATTATATCCGCAGATAAAATTTGCATAACAATGAATAAATTATAATCAAATTAGTCTTTATAATTGCTAATATATAGTTGTCTACTTTAATTTATTTCCGATATTGAGTTTTTAATTCCGGAACATGACTTTTCAAAACGACTAAGAAAAAAGTAAAAATAAAATTATATTATTCAACTGAGAGAGACTTAATGCTAAGTTAATTAAATGCAAAATTTTTAATTAAAAAAACGTATAGTATTAAGCAAATTTTGCACAAAGACTTTATTTTGAGTTTTTTTTATGTGAAAAATGATCGCATTTAATATAAATGTTTTTACAATTTAAAAATATGTTCTATAAACGTTCTGATAAACATTGATAAATCAAATGGACCAAAACCCGCATTACGCATATTTCATCAGATTTCTTCAATTAACTTTAAGCAGATCTTATATTTTTGGTAGAATTTTAATTCAAACCTGTACAGAGTTTTAACTTGAAATTACAAAGATGCAGGCTGAGATAATGATTTCCTTTCAGATTTTCACCAAAATAACTATCTCCAAATTAGAACCTGCGATAGAAGCTGTGATTAGAAGAATATCCGGCACTTCTAAGATACTTTGCAGTGCACACAATATGAGTGGCATACGTACATACATCAACTGATTACCGGAAAGAGCTGGTAAGTGCACCTTAGACCGAAGCAAGCTCGTTAACTTTTCTCTATAATCATACAATATACATGTATATAAGTAAAGTAAAACTTTCCGCTTTGATAGAAATTGTTATCGATCCACATGATGCACATCCGTCGAGCGCAATTAGGCATTTACTCGCTACGGACAGCGCCGTTCACTCGCGATACCACATCGGTGTGCATCAACGTAAAATATCCGAATTAATAAAAGGATTAATTAAAATATTAATTTGTCCTAACCAGCGTTTGCGCGCTCATGACCAGTGCCGTTGAACCGGGCAATTAACGTTAATTGTCTGGCAGGCGTGTAAAAAAAAAAAGTAAGAAAAATGTGCAAGCCATTCTATAGTTATTAATTCTACGTTTTCACAACGAGAAGCTCCGATAATATCTGCGTCGAATCTACGGCAATTAGACGCGAGGCATTAAACTAAGCGCTCGGGCACGAGCGCGAGCGACTATGGCGCGGG